ACGCCTGGCTATTTTTTTGGTTGCAGCCATCATTGTTGTTTGGTGGGCCCGGGTTGGATTCGAACCCGCCACCTTAGGTATACGTGGCTGGCGCCCCAGCCACTTGAGCCACAGGCGCCGAGCCGTGCAGTCAGTTATTAATGAATGCATACTTCCAGGATTAGAAAAGCTACATGTTTCCCTATTTTTTTATATCTTTGGGTTCTCTAAAATATACTAGAATTATACATAATTCAAGAAGGGATTTCAGAAAAGTGGATGCTGACTAGTTTGAAGATGATACTATCTGGGAGAGTCCCTGCTCTTTCCATTTCTCTCCAACATATTCAGTAAAATATTGAGATAATATTTTGCCTTATGTAGTAGATTCCTGGTGGCATTATGAATCATGTTTTACTAAGAAACTGTTCTGTTTATGACTTCAGGATTTTTTATTGGCGGACCTTCTAATATGATTAGTTCTGCTATTTCTGCGGACCTGGGTCGTCAGGAGCTGATCCAAGGGAGCAGTGAGGCTTTGGCAACCGTCACAGGGATTGTGGATGGAACTGGGAGCATTGGAGCTGCCGTGGGTCAGGTGAGAGAACAGGAGGGGGCAGGGATTCCAATGTCTTTCTCCTGCAAAGGTGGAAGAATTTTACCTGCCTGTTGGCCCACAGTAGGTGGCACTCTTGTGCTGTAGAGTTCTGTACTGACAGCCCAGGGTTTTAGTCTCTGAGGTCTAGCTCAGGTGCCCTAATATGGAAGGGCTCCCTACCTTTTTTAGTTTCTTTTCATTCTTACTTCCAGATTCTTCTTGCCTACAAATAAGCTTAAGATCTTGTAAGACAGATCACTCTGCACCAGCCCCCACCCCACTTTTCCAGTCCTAGCTTGGTGGTCTGCAGGGTGAGGGAGGTGGTGGGGTGGTGAGTGAGACACGTGCTTCTCGTTATCCCCACCTGCTATTCAAACCCCACCTTTTATCCTCTCTCCTGTCTCTCTCTACCGAGAACTCATGGGTACACAGGCTTTTGACATAGGTCACCATTACGCGTGGACACATGGCCATGCACTCTGCAACTGCCTCTGAGTTACTTTTTCTGGTTCCTCCATGTCTAAAAATTTATGATTGTATTTCAAAGGGTAGTTCATAAATGCCTCGTATCAGAATCATCTGAGATACTCTTTTTTTTTTTTCCTAGTGACAGTGTCTCACTTTATTGCCCTTGGTAGAGTGCTGTGGCGTCACAGCTCACAACAGCTTCCACCTCCTGGGCTTAGGTGATTCTCTTACCTCAGCCTCCCAAGTAGCTGGGACTACAAGTGCCCGCCACTATGCCTGGCTGTTTTTTTGTTGCAGTTTGGCAGGGGCCAGGTTCAAACCCACCACCCTGGGTATATGGGGCCGGCGCCCTACTCACTGAGCCACAGCTGCCACCCCTGTCTGAGATACTCATTAAAGTAGAGAACACTGAGCTTACTGCATACTTGCTGAGTTAGAGCCTAGGGATCTGTGTTTTCAATGAGACTTGTTGGTGATTCTTATGCCCGCTGATGTTTGAGATCCACTGAGCTGAGATTGGCCTGTTATATGTAGTTAAAACTATTCATTTTTTTTTTTTAGAGACAGGAGTCTTACTTTGTTGCCCTTGGTAGAGTGCCATGGCATCACAGCTCACAGCAACCTCCAGCTAGCTCTTGGACTTAGGCAATTCTCTTGCCTCAGCCTCCCAAGTAGCTGGGACTACAGGTGCTCGCCATAACGCCCAGCTGTTTTTTTATTGCAGTTTGGCTGGGGCTGGGTTTGAACCTGTGTTGCTGGGTATATGGGGCTGGCACCCTACTCACTAAGCCACAGGCGCCACCCAGTCAGAACTATTGAAGGCAGCATCTATGGCATAATTTTAGGCCTTCTCTCAGAAATGTACTTCTTGTCTGGGACAGTCATGAGTCATGCCTTTTCTAGAGTGTACCACTCCAGGTCATGGGATGCTGATTTTGCAAATATATGGATTTGGAAATCATGTGCCTAGATGAAACAGTTGAACTTACAGAAGTGGATGAGTCATTTAATGGGGAGAGAGAGTGGAGGCAGAACCTCAGGGAATGCCCAGTGGTGAGAGAGACAGAAAGCCAAAAGTAACAGTCAAGGGAATAATATTTGATAAGGTGTTAGTCAGGTGATAGATGTAGAAGTCAGGAGGAAAACTGAAGGACAAAGGACTTAGTTTTGTCTTTGACAAGGTGTGTAATGGCCTTGAAGATTGCTGTTTTGCTTGGTAAGCAGCAGTGGATTGCTGATATCTCATCACTAGTGACTAATGAGAGAACAAGTAAACCATCCTACTATGTATTCATTTGTTTTTTTTAAAGACAGAATCTCAGTTACCCTTGGTACAGTGCTGTGACATCTTAGCTCACACCAACCTCAAACTCTTGGGTTTAAGTGATTCTCTTGTCTCAAAATCTCAGGTAGCTGGGACTATAGTCAGTCACCCATCACAATGCCTGGCTATTTTTTTTGTCTAGCAGGCCTGGCTGGGTTCAAAGCCACCAGCCCTAGAACATGTGGCCGGCACCCTAACCACTGAGCTATGGGTGCCCCCATATTCATTTGTTAATGTCTGTCTCTCACTATAATGTAAGCTTCATGAGGGCAGCATTTTCTGTGTTCCTCTGGCTCTAGTACCTAGAGCAGTGCCTGGCTCATAGTAGATATTCAAATATTTATCGAGGGATTGTGGAATGAATGATTGATATGCTTAGCATATTTGATCATAATACTAAAGGACAAAAAAAACTTAGATGTAGGAGAAATTTGCTAATCTGATTGTGCTTTTTTTTAAAAAAGAAAAAAAGAAAGCTTTTTTTGGTAGCATTACTTAAAAATGTTAAAATACAAATGACTATTGAAGAAGTAAGATCATGCTCTTGCGTTAGAATCAGAAATGCCCTTGGCCCCATTCCACATGTCTTCATACATGACATAAAGGACGACTGTAACTCTGGGTATCCTTTTCTGACATTACTAGATTTCAAATTACCCTTCCGCATGACTGTTTTCTTCATTAACTAAATGGTGGATTATAGTGAGCATTTCAGGGAATTTACTTTTATTTGGAATGCCTCACCTGCCAGTGTTCAGACCTCTAACGTTGAACTTGGGTCAACATTAAACTAACCTTCATGGTTGAGGAATTATATGCAGAGTAAGTCAGTCTGCTTCCTTGTTGATTTCTAAATGATTTCCCATTGCCTAAGGGGTGAAATCCTAAGCTTAAAACTCGATCAGTCTTGTCCTCAGCCCCTTGCCTAACTCACCTGGAGTAACTTTGTTGCCCCCACCTTTCTCTGACTTCCCGAGAAGAGTTAATTGTTTCCCCCAGGTCACCATTGCAGTTGGCGCACACTTCTGCCTAGCAGAGCACCTGCCTTGGTGTATCACCTTCACATGTTTCTCTCTCTGTCCTCTGGACTCTGCATTCCTTGAGAACAAGAACACTGTCTCCTTCATCTTTGTGTGCCCAGTGCTTAGTGCATTTTTGACGTAATGTAAGGGCTCAGGAAGGTTAAGTTGTGATATCTACTCAAGAGAAATAAGAACAAATGTCTGTATTAAAACTTGTACGTGGCTGGGTGTGGTAGCTCATGCCTGTAATCCCAGCACTTTGGGAGGCCTAGGTAGGAGCATTGCTTGAGGCCAGGAAATTGAGACCAGCTTGGGCAACATAGAGAGATGCTGTCTCTATAAAAAATAGAAAATAGTGGCTCGGCGCCTATAGCTCAACCAGCTAAGGCGCCAGCCACGTACACCTAAGCTGTCGGGTTCGAATCCCCAGCCCGGACCCGCCAAACAACGATGATGGCTGCAACCAAAAAATAGCCGGGCGTTGTGGCGGGCGCCTGTGGTCCCAGCTACTTGGGAGGCGGAGGCAGGAGACTCGCTTGAGCCCAGGAGTTGGAGGTTGCTGTGAGCTGTAGTGCCATGGCACTCTGCCCAGGGGGACAGCTTGAGGCTCTGTCTCAAAAAAAAAAAAAAAAAATAGAAAATAGTGGCCAGTAGTCTCAGATACTCAAGAGTCTGAGGCAGGAGTATTACAGTGAGCTATGATCGTATTGCTGCATTCTAGCCTGGGTGGTAGTGAATATCTATGAGCCACTCCTGTTTAATTATGCTTTTTTTTTTTTTGAGACAAGAGTCTCATTATGTGCCCATGGTGTCACATCTCACAGAAACCTCAAACTCTTAGGCTTAAGCAATTCTCTTGCCTCAGCCTCCCAAGTAGATGGGACTACAGGCCCCTGCCACAATGCCTGGCTATTTTTGTTGTTGTTATTACAGTTGTCATTGTTCTTTAGCTGGCCCGGGCAGGGTTCAAACCTGCCAGCCTTGGTGCATGTGGCTGGTGCCATAACCACTGTGCTACAGGCGCTGAACCCTGTTTAATTATTCTTTCTTCCAATGAGAAGTACTATAAATTGATGCTTCAAAGAGAATTTTGTCTTTTAAGTATGCTGATCATTTTTCAATTATGCTATATGTTCACAGGACTGCTGTATTACTTTAGCATTCTGCAGCATTTTTTTCTTACTTTTTTTTTTTTGAGACAGAGTTTACTATGTCACCCTTGGTAGAGTGCAATTGTGTCACAGCTTACAGCTATCTCTAACTCTTAGACTTAAGCAATCATCTTGCCTCAGCCTCCCCATAGCTGGGACTATAGGTGCCCATCATAATGCCTGGCTATTTTTTGTTGTTGTTTAGCAGACCCAGGCTGGGTTTGCCAGTCTCAGTGTATGTGGCCAGCACCCTAACCATTGAGATGCGGGCGATGAGCCCTTACTTTACTTTCTAATTTTTATTTATTTATTTATTTTGAGTTCACAGCAACCTCAAACTCTTGGGCTTCAGCGATTCTCTTGCCTCAGCCTCCCAGGTAGCTAGGACTACAGGCAGCCTCCACAACACCTGGCTGTTTTTTTGGTTGTAGTTGTCGTTGTTGTTTGGTAGGCCTGGGCTGGATTCGAACCTGCCATCTCCAGTGTATGTGGCCGGTGCACTAGCTGCTGAGCTACAGGCGCCAAGCCCCCTTACTTTACTTTCAATTACTAAAAATAATCTAAAAGCATAGGACCCCGGCCAGGTGCAGTGGCTCACACTTGTAATCCCAGCCCTCTGGGAGGCTGAGGTGGGTAGATTGCCTGAGCTCACAGGTTCGAGACCATCCTGAGCCAGAGTGAGACTCCACCTCTAAAAATAGCTGGGCGTTATGGCAGGCACCTTTAATCCCAGCTACCAGAAAGGCTGAGGCAAGAGAATTGCTTGAGCCCAAGAGATGGAGGTTCCTATGAGCTATGATGCTATGGTACTCTACTGGGAGTGACAAAGTGAGACTCTGTCTTAAAAAAAAAAAACCCGCATACAACCTATTTTCCTTTTTTTATTACACTAAAATATATCTTAAATCCAAACAAAACAAAAAAATGAATTTGTACACAAAAGTTCACAGCTGCATCATTCATAACAACTATAAAAGGAAAAATAGCCCAAATGGCCATTAACTGATAAATGGATAAACAAAATGTAACATGGCCACACAATGGAGTATTATTTAACAGTTAAGAAGGAATGGGCTCGGCGCCTATAGCTCAACCGGCTAAGGCGCCAGCCACGTACA